ACAGACAAAAGTAGTAATGAAAATAGTAAAGATAGTTTAGAGAATAAATAATGTCTGTGTTAGCATTTTGGTCGACTATAGTTTTTAAAAAAAATCATGATTTTAACTTTATGAAATGATAAATAAGAGTTAATAACTACATGTATACGTAATAATGCTGTAACAAATCAAGGAATAAAGGGCCATAAGTGGTGACTTGAATGTGACTACTTTGGAGTTCCGCCCGTCAAATTGGCGCTAGCAACTTCGCAATTGGACCCGAATTGTCTCTAACTTCTTTTCCATCACTAATCCAAGCGATGGAACAAGAGCCGGAGAGGATCTTGTTTCCTTCCAAACCGTTACAAAGTGTCACTTCTCATCCGTCGAGTCAAGTAGTGTGACTCCCACGTGTAGGATCTATTGCGAGATCCATCACATTCAACTACCCAAGGGTGTGTGGTTGCCGGTTTGTTCTGTACTACCAAAAGTTTGCACCAAACAATAGAGATACGAAATCTTAGCCCTAACGTGTTTCATGCACAATGCCACCTCTTGTTGGTTGATCTTTAGGGACCACGTAATTGGATCTAAGCCGTCCATTTTACTTGTCCAAAAAAATAAAAATTACATGAAATCTTCTTAATACACGTAACACCCACGTGTGAGTATGTGTATATGATATGTCCAAAATGTTACCTGAATCATATTTTGACATTTTCATTTATGTTTTTTCAATATTTTGAAGTAACAACCTTAGAAAAGAGACATGTTAAGAGAAATTTATATATAGTCGTATTTCATTATAGTTCATACAAACATTTCGGACATATCATATACACATACTCACACGTGCGTGTTAGTGCTTGGTTCCCTTGTGTCATTCGTTAACTTAATTCGGTACTTATTTTTTTAATAAATTAAGTATTTATTTAGTTAAGTGTGCTTATAATGAAAGCAGTTTCATTTAAAATTTTAATTGAGAAAGACCCCACTTATCACAAAACAATGAACAGTTGAAAATCAAATGAAACAACATTGCTTCTGAAATTTACCCCCTATTTTTTAATAAAATTACACATTAACCACATAAATTTTAAGTATTTATAAATTGAGAAGTATTCAATGATGAGTTAAAATTTTCTCTCTTAAGAATTTAATTATTTTAAGTGAAATTTGTGTTTTTAAAGTGACTATCAAAATAGTAAATTTAAATCAAAATTGAGTAATCAAATAACACATAATTTTAAAAAAAAAAAAAAAATACACCTTTTACATTTAGTGAAGTCTCTCTTTCAAACTTTATTAAATTAAAGGGGATATTTAATTTTAAAGAATTTGAAGGCTAATTTGGAATTTTGAAGGATGATGAGTTGATTCAAAGAGGACATATATTATAAGGCAAACAAATGATATTTTATTTTCAACAGGCAAGCGGTCATTTGTCCCACATCGGATCTGGATGGAAAAGTGATTGAGTATAAATGTGTGGGTATGCATCACTACCTAACAGCTTGAGTTTTTAAGTAAATAGACAAGCGTTTACCCATTACAGTTGGTATCAGATCCAGACAGTCCTTGATTCGGTGTCACGGCCTGGCCCGGAGGGCGTCCAAGTTTACAGCCCGGGTAGGCAGGGTAGTTCGAGCCGTAATGAAGGCGTTGCGAATTTGAATGGGGGTCTCGTTGCGAATTTGGATGGGGAAGAATATGATAAGGGTCATTTGTTCCACAACGGATTTGGATGGTAAAGTGATTGTGTATAAATTGGTGGGTATGCAGTACTACCTAACAGATTAACATTTTGAATAAATGGGTAAACGTCCACCTATTACACTTAATTACCACTAACTTTTTCCTCTCCCTCACTTTGTATGCATGTATAATGAGGTGCACCTCATTGTAACACTAATAAGCTTTTTGCATTTCGCAAATTATGGAAAATGGGACTAGGACAAGGACACATCATATATGAAAGTGTCTAAAACGTTTCCTTGTCACGTTCAAAAAAATAAATAAATAAATAAAATAAAATAAAATTGTGGAACACTTTCAATCATGTATAAGACGTATTCAAGACGTATTCGTATGTTGGACATGTATGAGATCCAAACAGTCTCCATGCTTCCTAGCTCTGCCACTTCACTTAAATGCTTTGCACTTCTGCCAGACAAATATGGGATACATGTCATGAGCACTAAGGCACCCTGGTGCATGCAGACTAAGACAAATAGGATATCATTTCTAATTAAAGAGAGGTTTCTTTTGCAGGCTATGGAAGGGACTAATGAGACCTCTTCCTAATATTAATAATTGAAACATAAACATAATGGAAACCAATTCCGGCAACGATCACATCAGTTTGGTCATGTTAAATGGCACTAATATTAATTATTAGTATATAGGAATGGATTCAAACTTTATACATACACACAGAGGAAAACAAAAATAAGAAAAAACAATGCATGTATCAAAAGAGGAGTGTATTTATTATCTCCCCAAAAAATGAATCAATCCAAGGACAATCCACAATGTAGTGCAAAGGTACTATATAGTACATTACTATGCAGTACTCGGTATTTTCCTCAATTCAAGGAGAAAAATTTATAAGCTCATATTGTTTGTTTTGGTTGAAAAATTAAATAAAAAAAAAAAAAAAAAAAAAAACAGATCAGATGCATGTAAGCGCACACATATTTCACTAGGTTAGTTAAAGAATTATGGCTACATTCATGAGTTACAGATATTTCATTATGTTAAGAAAAATGATACATAATACAAAGAGTTCAAAATAAATAAATAGTATACCTTTGTATATTAAAACAACAGAACAAACAAAAAAAAAATATCAAAATACTCTCAAAAATATTCGGGCAAAGGACTCCTGCCAACTTATTACGAAGTTAAATCCGCAAAGTTCGTTTTTATCAAAACTTCAAACTACCCATCATTTCTACGTTTGAAATATGACTTGCGTACTTTAATTATTCACATCTGATGTGACTTTTTTTTTTTTTTTTTAAGAGAGAGAGGAATCCATCAAAAGGGAGTAGGTTCCAAAATGTTTGTCATGTATTTCTCAATAAATTTGCTCTAAATTTTCTTAATTATGATTTATTTTCATCGTTTATAAACAAGTCGGGTTGGTTTGCCTAGATTCTTTTCATTTAAAGACATACATGGCGAATGTAGTTCCGAAATATAATGTAGTACTCCGGTGAATAGTGAATTAATATTTCTTAGGGATAATTTCACTTACCTCCCCTGAGGTTAGGCGTAATTACAAACGATACCCCTTACGTTTTAAAAATTACACTGACCTCCTTCCAAACTGATCGGCATTTTATTCCGGTCATTGACCATGTTAAATGACTAAAACACCCTCTAATATTTTATTTCATTTACACTAAATTTGAACAGTTGTTTTAGTCAATTTTGTGTATTCTGAGGAGGGCACAAGGATGGTGAAGAAAGTTAGAGAGAGAAAGAGGACAAAGAGGGGTTTGGCAGCAGCTGGAGTTGAGCCCATTTGGGGATTTGAATTATGTTCAAACCATGACCGGCTTTTTGAAAGGAATTAAAAGGGGATTTTTTAGTGGCTTGTAGAGATGGATTTTTTATTTAGAACAGACGAAAATTGTGCGGAGGGTTTGTTTAGACTTTTTGGGTTTGTGGGTGCTTTCATACTAGTGAGTGTACGTTGCTCTGTCCAATTCAACAGTTGGCAAAATCTGTTCTCCGGTGGCCGAAATCCGAGAGAGGAACCCTTATGTTCTTCCACAATCGCATCTTTGTCTTGACTCTCTCCCCTTGTATATTTTTAGGATTTGTTTTTAGTGTTGTAAATATAAATATAAATTTGCAGATGATGCAATTAGTGATCTTAGAAGTGAATCCACTGGTTTGATCAGTGGAATGGTGTATTTGTCTTCATTGCTATAGATTCACAGGGAGAGAAAAAATATAGCTAGCATAGCTTTTGGAATCGAAAGCTCGTGGAGATGAACAACAACAACAAATTCCAATAGAGTAATATAATTTTAGAAAGAGAAAGTGATAGAATTCTAGAGAGAGAAATAGTTTGAACCAGAAATAGAGAGTTCAAACCAAAAATGAAGAAGAACAATTAACAGAAACCTAATCAATAGATTGAGAAATAAAACTCAATCATCAAACTCATGGAAGGATTTGGATGGCTTCTAATTCAGTTAACCCTTAAGAAATGGGTCTTGATCCATTTTCCAGTTATTAGGTTCTTACATAGAGAAGTTTTAAGAGAGAATGTTTAGAGAGAGAGAGTATATATGTAGTATTCTGTAGA